GGGCCACCCCGGCCGCAGCTCTCCCGGGGCCGGGGCCTGTCGGCGGCCTCCGAGGAGCTACATCAGGGAGCGCCTGTCAGTCGGGGCAGCCGGGAGGGAGAAGGGGGCCCCTCAGCCCTGTGGGCAGCCGGCCGGAGGCTGGGCCTGTGCGGAGGCTGGCTGACCTGCCCGCCTTTCCCTTCGCTCGTTAGGCGCGTGTGTACGCACGGGAGGGTCCCTCCGAGCATCTCTGAGGTTGTCCAAGCACAGGCACGGGCTGCCCGGGTCGGGGCTGTGGAGCCTCCATCCCTGGAGATACTCAGAAACTGCCTGGACAGGGGCAACCTGCTCTAGGTAGTGCTGCTGGAGCAGAGGTTGGACCAGGGGGACCCCCAGAGGCCCCTGTCCCCCTCAACCCTTCTGTGGTTAATGCCTTACTCTAGAAAAACAGGTTGTGTGGGGTTTTTGTTTGTTTGTTTGTTTTATTTCTACACTTCGAGCCTCCATCCCTGGAGATACTCAGAAACTGCCTGGACAGGGGCAACCTGCTCTAGGTAGTGCTGCTGGAGCAGAGGTTGGACCAGGGGGACCCCCAGAGGCCCCTGTCCCCCTCAACCCTTCTGTGGTTAATGCCTTACTCTAGAAAAACAGGTTGTGTGGGGTTTTTGTTTGTTTGTTTGTTTTATTTCTACACTTCTGCTTAGTTCCTGGTTCTTTGACCTCTTCCCAAGGCCTCACGCACACACACAAATGGTCTTTCTACACGGTTTTTCTTGTTCTCTCTAGCTTATCCTGAAATCCCCAACTTCTTGCCTTCAGCTTTAGCCCCTTGGCTAGAGCTGTGTTTTTGAATTGTCACTGACAGTGCAACCAGTGTAGTAATTGCATGCAGGCTCGGAAGGGTGTCCCTGACACAGATTTGCTGCACTCGGGTATGGAAGATGCTGTAGCCTGTTTGCACTTTTCCAGAAATTAGTTCCGAGTATGACTTGATCCTCAAGCAGCCTTGAGTTACAGCAGTCCCTTTCCTCCATTGCTGACCTTTTTTTTTTCCAATATGGGAAAATTCACATGATAGGGGGAGAAAAGAGTACCTGGCAGGTACTCTTATTTTCATCTTTAAAATGTAAGAAAAATCCAAAGGGATAAAGGAAGCTGTTACATTGATTCCTTTCTGGAGACCATTGCTTTCACTGCTCTTCCCCTCTGCAAATAGCTCGCGTCTTTTCAGCTCCTGTTGCAAAATCAACTTAAGTAGGGTATAGTTTGTCCTTTAAATGATGAGGAGAGTGTCCAAATTTCCCACCAAATGCCCTCAGATATTATAATGGGATAAAGATGGTACAGTAACCTGTATCTATCCCTTCTTTTGGATCCCGGGAAACAGGATTCCTTGCAGCAAATAAGTTAGACCCTGAATGAGACAAACCTACCTGTAGAGCTGTATGAGCCAAGCGCAATGCACGGTTGCAGCATACGTGACTCTTTTGTTCATCACTGTGGTTTTTTTAATCTGCCAGGAGCACAGATCAGTAACTTTTTGCTGCAGTGGTTTTTGAATACATAAACACAGCAGAAACTTGGCAACCTGCCCGCTCCAGCTTCTGTACAAAAATGACCAGACTCTCCTTGGTTTGCAGTGGTGAGTTGTCAACGTAGCTAGCTTTCACCTCACCGTGCATAGCGTGACTTGTCTGAGCTACTCGTCCTACAAATACCTACTGTGGATGCTTTGAGGAGAAAAATCAGTTTAAAAATGAAGCTAAGGATAGCTGTTGAAGTGTAGTTCTCCTTACGTGGAGCTGTTCTTGGAGTCCAAGCTCCAGTCTTTTACTTGGTGTTGCCATCAAGTTCTTGAGAGACTCGCAGTGCTTGTCTGTTTTCCCATCTGTGTTTGCCAGTTCTCCAGTAGTCCCAGCAGGGGAGTAGGTCAGGAGGGAGTACTGGTGGAAGCGCTTTCCCCTCCCCCCACCGTCTGCGCACGCAGGTTTTCATTCGCATTCTGCATCTGTGAACCACTGGTTTTATTTGTATTTCTTCCAGGTCCTTGTCACTGGCCGTGAATGGACGATGCCTCTTCCGGAAACCGTATATTGTGCTCAGCAGATCAAAATCCCGCCCGAGCTACCTGATATTCTGAAGCAATTCACTAAAGCTGCTATTCGGACTCAGCCTGGTGATGTTTTGCAGTGGGCAGCTGCGTAAGTAGGATGTTCACCTAACCACGTAGCGCTGTGTGTGTGGGCCCGCAAAACCTCGCTGCTCCCGTTACCGTACAGTGGAGCGGGCTTGAGTGTTAAGCCAGCCTGCGTACTGCATCCGTGCTTGTGGGCATTGATGCAGCACGTGAGCCTATAAACACAGCGTAGGGCTTGGTTTGTATTCTGTTTCATTGAGGCTTAGGACTGGCATATTTCAGTTTGATTTCTGTATAAAAGTATGTAGCTTAATTTTTTTGTTCTTCTTGTTGTTAATTGCTCTGTCCTTTAAAACTTAAAAGACCAAACCCTTTTCTTTCTTCTCATGTAAGACATAATTAAATTCTTAGAATTTAAAGGAAACCTTTAAAGCTTTCTAATTCTTAAATTTGCCTAGGTTTCTTTGTTTGTTTGTTTCCAGGAACAAAATTAAGGAATCTTCTTAAGCGTTACTGAAATAGGAAAAGAGCCTGAGAAGTTGTGACTTCTAGGTGTTAGTCCAGATAACAAATCTCTCATCATAAAGTTTGTTTAAGATAACTTAAATGTTTCTTCTCCTTTAGCTTCTTTTTTCTCTTTCACCTCAGCCGCTCGCTATCACTTTTCCCTGTCCTACAGTTTGTGTGGACAAGCTCTTGAAAGGTACCCGTGAGCTGCTCTCAGCTCAGGGAATTAAAAAGTCGGTGCTGTGTAGGTGAGGGAGGGCTGCTAGCAAAGCCAGGAGGGAGCCTGGCTAGGCCAGGAAAAGGAAAAAGCCTGCCCCTGAATCGCTACAGCTGCGGAGTTGGCAAAAGGCAGCAGGAACATCTTCAAACGGTGTTTCGCAGGAAGGTGCTGGAGGTGGGGTGTGGCGGAGCTCTCTCTGGGCGATGGATGGGCTGGAAGCTTGCCCCAGCTGAGCAGTCAGAAGTGGCAGGGGGGCGGGGGGGACCCACACGCCGCCGTGGGGCCCTACCACAGCCATGCTGCCTGCTGCACCCCGACTGCTGCTGCAAGCTCGCACCGGCTTGGTGGGAGGAGGCCCCACAGATGGGCAGGTGGCTGCGCACCCCGTTCCGGAGTGGGCTCTGGGGCAAGAGCGCCTGGGGCGTGGCGAGGTCTGAGTGGGGAGCCACGCAAAGCAGAGCAAGGCTGTGGTTTCACGCCCATTGCCGG